TTTTCTATCAGCTTTATCAAATACAGGGTCGCGGGGGAGCCTATCCCAGCAAGCAACAGATGCATGGCAGGATACACCCTGGACGAGACGCCAGTCCATCGCAGGTTTCACACAGAAGCAAACACAGGCACGCACACACTCACACCAGGGCCAACTTTCCCAGAAGCCAATTAACGTAAAATTATGTCTTTGGACTGTAGGAGGAGACAGAAGTCACCAGCGAAAACCAACACAAACACAGGAAGGAATACACAAGCTGCACACAGACAGCTCCGGGAATTGAACCCAGGGCTCAAGCCTTTACCAATGGCCTCCTAATAATCCCCAACTCATCCAGGTGGGGCTGCACACTGGAGGAGGTGGAGGGGATCCCCATGACCTGTAAAGAGCTCTGAGTGGAGTGTCCAGAAAAGCGCTATATAAGTGTAAGGAATTATTATTATTATTATTATTATGAAGAAGAAGACAGTATACTCAAACTCTGATGCAGGTGATGCATGACTTCTTACCTGGACGCTATCCTCCCCAGCTCCAGCAAGCAGAGACATACCTCCCTGGGCTGTTTGTGCAGAACTGCAAAACAAGAACAGAAGGAAAAGAAACTGCAGGGATATTATTACTAAGATCAACACACCCCTCCGTGTGACCTCTGGAAGGATACGAAAGGCCTGGGACTGAAATCCACTGCCATTACTCATCATTTGTAATTAGGAGGTGAGGTCATATCAGAGACAGAATTCAAAAGAACTTTTGAAACAGAAGCATGCATGCTTGAAGAAGAGTGACACATAAAAAAATGAATGACTGGCGACTGGAGATTTTTAGATGTTAAAAATCTATAGCTGGCCCAGTGCTAACAGCTGCCAGCTGACTGAGCTCATACAGGATGCAGAACAGGTAATACCAGCAAATTAAACACACCCTCTTCATATGGAAACAAAGAGTCGAGAACACTTTGAATGAAACCCACAAAGCATCAGAAAGTTGGTGCTTTTAAGGTTTTATCAGAAGAGCCTCTCATCTTTTAGGTTGCAAAGAAATCCATTCAGTAGGCGAGTAATAAATCAGCAATCCATGTGGCTTTTAAAAACACCACAAAGGGCCAAACACATGTGGAGTGTTCTGTGTGCATCTGTCCGCGAGTGGAATAATGGCAAGTGTGTTTGCTGCTCTTCCCCTGTTTCATTAAAAGGGACTCTTGCACGCAAAACATGTCGGTTTGGTCCACATCAAAGTGCCCCTTCTGAAGAACCCTGCTGCAACGCTGTAATCTGACAGTCACAGGCGGGGGCCTCCGAGATTTCAGCTCAGTTAAAGGGGAACTGCGGGCCCAATTTCTCAGACCGGCTATTAAACAAATAAACTCGGTAACACATAAAATTCACTGACGGCATCGCAAAATTAAAAACAATTCCGAACTCGGCACAAAATCGGGAACCCTGTGAAAGTCGCCATGTGGTCAAAAAAAACACCCTGGTCTCGCCATGAGCGA